TCACCGTGGCACATTATGGGACGTTTACCATAATGCACTGCGCGGTTACGCCGACGGCGACGGCGACGCTGACGCGTCACGCCGACGTGTTACGCCGACAAGTTACGGTTGCGCCGACACGTCACACCGACGTGTTACGGTTACGCCGACGCCGCTCAAGCCGGAAACGGACGCCTTAATACTGCGCTCTAAAAAAAAAAAGAACTGGTGTAAACGGCCGTAGCTGAATTTGGGAACCCGTGAAACTTCCTGCGAAAGCACGTGATCGAAGAGAATAGGTACAACTCGTCGAACACAAGTCACTCGGTCAGGCGGCGTGATCCAAATCATGGCTTGGCACGCCGAAGTGCTGCGTCTTTGTGCCTTCGCACATTTGGATTCCGATCAAGAATCGACGACGTTTGATTGTGGTAGCCCGTCGGGAAAGTTCTAAGAGTTTCGACACTAAATTTAGTGTGGAAACTCGTCTAAAGTTGCATGTGCTTCAAGAGCAGCGTTTTACTCTACTTCGACAACTGTATTTGTAACTTGCGGCACTTGCGTACCAGAGATGTGTTTGAGTAAAAGGCGACAGAAAGCCTTCCTCCCATCCGGCGCTGCTCCACTGTGTTCAGTGTAGCTGCGTGATGTGAGTATATCGTATATATTCAAGTATATTTCGAAAATAGACAGGGTTGATATTGCGTGATAGCGGCCCCTGATTGCTTTCCTCACTGATAGCAGCATTTGATAAGTGGGAGCAACTCGCCAGAACAGCTGGACGACCGAGAACTCCGAATGCACGACGTACTTTGATTTGCCTTTACATAATCTCAGTCGATAAATGCGCTGTTCACCTCCTCAATTTTTTTTACAGAAATCCATTTTTATTAACCTCTACAAAGGAGGATCGAGTCTAAATTAAGGTTTCTCTTTCGGGTAAGTATCGCTTGTTCAGAAATCAAGTACAAACATAATAAATGGCAGCTTAAATGTACACCCAACTCCCCAGAAGCAATTTGTTTTAAGCGCCTAGATAAAACACGTACAAAACAAAAAAACTTTTCCCCGAAAAAAAAAATAACGCTATATTTTTGCCACGAGACTCGCATGAGAGATTCTGAAACATGCTTCTATTTCGGGGTTGATGTTTCAAGCATGTTTCGGAATCGCCGTAGATATCTTGCTAAACTTTTCCTTATTAACTATTGTTTGTGTGTGACATTCGTGCATTTTGAACACGCACGTTTCTCGAAGAAAAAGTAATCGTATACAATTAATACTGTTGGTTAAAAAATGCGCAATTACATTACTTGAATACTCCAGTGATTGGAAGTTATTTGAAAAAAAGTAACCGCAACTTTTCGGATTCGTTCACATTTTCAAATGAACAGATTTTCTGCCCTATAGCAAACTGGTCTTTCGTACTCTTCATTTTTCTGTTGAAGTCACCGAGTTACGAGCTACTCGTCTTCCTCATTCACCAATTTCGGTAAGCCGATTCTTTTGTAGGAGACTTGGTTCGAGTATTCCATGGTCGGAAACTTGTAGAGGCAAAGGCGCAATTAGAAAGGGGAGGAGGGAATAGGTAATGGTAACAAGTAATTTTAGTACTTTCGAAAGTAATCATCCAACCACTGTATTGGTGACTTCCTAAAAATATGCTCAAATGATCGCAAAATAACTCCAAACTATAATCCATTGTAGGCATTTTGATTACTTGTAATGAGTATGGTACAAGTCTACACACGTGTCCTATCCAGTTGCTAAGAAAGTGGTTGGGGAGTTCATTGTCTACGTAAAAGGCAGACGTAAAAAAATCTTTCATAACGAAAATAATATGTAAATCCTAGTTTTTTTTTGAATTTGCATGTTTCCTTATAGTTATGCTGATAAAAAGATGTTAATAAATCGTATTTGCACCTTTATGCGCTCAGGTGAAGCCATATATTTGTACCGTTACCACTTCGCTTATTCAGAGTGGCCAAGGGCTGTAAGATATCACCGCTACAAAGAGTTGACTTTTTAACCCGGATAAATTAACAGAAAATTATATGTGGACAAGATGAAACGAGCGGCCCGGTTTTGTACTGCCTCCAGGTGGTTGATGAGGTAGGCCTGATGGGGACTCCAGGTGGAGGCTGCATATTCTAATTTTCGCTTGATGAAATTGCCGTACGCCATTTTGCGGACGAGTAAAAGAGCACTGCGCGAGTTACGTCGAATGAAACCTAGAGTTCTCGATGAGTCAGCATGGCTTCAATGTGGTTATTCCATGAGAGGTCAAATGATAGTCTTACACCAAGACATTTATTTATACGTTGAAACGGTTTCGATTAGGTCAAAGTCGAGGAAGTACCAATGATATAGGATGGATTTATCTCTGGTGAAACGGATTGATTTACTTTTGGATTTGTTTAGTGACATCAACCAGCTGTTGCACCAATCGTTAATTTTTAGAAGGTCATCTTGTAGCGGGTTGTGATCATGCACAGGTGTTACTTTGTTATAGACGACGCAGTCGTCTGCGAATAGGCGTATTTTAGAGGAAATGGTGGAAGGAAGGTCATTGGTAAATATTTAAAAAAAGCAGAGGCCCGAGAACTGACCCTTGCGGAACACCAAAGGAGGTATTTGTTAAGGTGGACTAGTGATCATTGATGACCGTGAACTGTACGCGGGAGGAAAGAAAGTCGCGTGTCCATGCTAACACTAAACGATCAAGGTGAAGAGAGGACTGCTTGGAAAGGAGACGTTGATGGGGGACACAGTCGAAAGCTTCGGAGAAATCAAGAGAGACGGCGTCCGTCTAAGCATGACACTCGAGGTCAGTGTGTATATTATGAATGAAGTCGCAAAGCTGCGTCTCACAGGATACTTCTTTTTGGAATCCATGTTAATGCATACAAAAAATCAGTTTGTAGTTAAGTGATCATGATGTGAGAGTAAATTATGTGCTCGAGCATTTTAGATGAGACAGATGTTAAAGATATCGGGCGATAGTTCCCTATTGAAAAATCCACCAGACCGGTTTGGTGTGTCCTCGTGTTTTCTGACGTAAACATCAGACCGGCCTGTTGTGTTCTGGTGCGCACATCAGACCAGCCTCACGTGTTCTGTTGTCCCCACCAGAACACGTTAGGCTGGTTTGGTGTGCCCATCACATCATCCTAGTGTGGTCTGATGTGCACATCAAAACACACCAGGCTGGTCTGATGTGCACAACACAGCACACCAGAATGGCTTGATGTGCACACTACGCCACACCAGACGGGTCTAATGTCCACACCAAGGCACACTAAACTGGCCTGACATGCACACCAGGGTGCCTCTGGTGAGCACACATTACGGATATATGTATGGTGTTGAATGAAAACATGTTTTCTTGTAAAATTATATAAGATGTACAGAGCTCAAACACCACATTTGATTTTATAAGGTGCTTAATTGAAGGGGCGATGCATCGATTCACTTCAAATAATATGTACTTTGCATAAGCATGTTGGCACAGTGTAACAAACGTTTACCTATATGCAATAGCCTGATGGAAAGAATACAGGTTTGCCTCGTCAACAATCGTCAGCAGCTTGTCATCAATGAAAACTTGAAAATATTTCAGTCGGCATTTGACATCATCAGAGGCCGTAAACATGGGTTCCGCAGGCTCCAGAAAACACCGGTCTTCTTTTCCCCAGTCAAAAACTTGCGTCGGTGACTTTTGCTTCTTTCTCGACGTTGACAGAAGTGGACAGGCGGGCGTTCTGCCTTCAGTTTCGTTATCGCTTGGAAGTTCGGTTGTTAGGCCCTTCGTTGGCAAGTTCTCCTCGTCACTGTCACTCACTTCACTATCACTAGGTCCCGCATTAGACACTGTACCACTTTCTGGAATCAAAACCACACAGGGACGATCGTGACACCGTGTCTGGTAGAAAGATCCCGATGGAATTTTCTTCGGGCAGCAGTAGAATACGAAGCCTAAAAGAAAAGAGCACCACGTCAAATTCTACCAGAAAACAGGGATGTACTAAACCACGCCAAACAGGAAGCTTTCTCCCGACAATTAAAGCCGATTCCTCGTGCACAGGTATGTAAAATTCAGAGTGAACGCCCGCCCCTAAAGGAAACTACTGAAACACTGCCAAATCTAAGCACGGAACGGAACACCACAGAAATCACAGAGCTACTATGCGACTCCTCTCTTAAGACAGTTTCACATGCAGCGACTGTGCGAAAAAAAAAAAAAAATCGGTGCGACAGCCGACGCAGCGAGTGCGATCGCAATGTTTGGTTTCACATGCTCCAACAACCGCGCGATTTCTGTCGGAGCGGCTGGCGCTTCGGACACGGACGCGACGCGTTTCACTTTGTCTAAAATACAACAAAAACGTATTAATAAGCATACATGTTTTAGGAATGCAATATGCAACCAGAAATTTATAATAACAAAGCATTAAATCAGAAGCTTTTATGTGCCTACATTTATTTTCGCGGATGAAAGCTGGCTAATGAACGGCTGATTGACGAGAAAGCGATCGCACCGGCTCTGCGGCAAAATACCAACTTGGTGGAAACCAGTTGCAGAGCCGCTGCGACAGTGCGACTGCGATTTTAATCGCACATATACTAGAAATCGCATCGATTTCGGGCGAGAATCAGAGCATGTGAAAGAGCCTTCGCATATCTACTATGTACTTTTTTTTCCCCCTACCTTCATACGTTTCAGGGTAAAATACGTCAGCGCTATGGAATCCAGAACTTGTAAAAATTCAAAATTAGCATATTTCAGAGCAAAGTACTGCTTACCTTTGTAACAGCAGGTCGAAGTGCGTAGCACGGCGTGGACGATACGCATCTTGGGCGCCGCCATGCACATCGCAGCCGACGGAGCGACGGAGTATCTGGAAACCCCTCGCGGCGAAAAGTCGAGACCGCGAAACCGAAACCAGAAAATGTATTTCCCAACGTTACTAGATACTCTTCAGTTCTCAAACAGCGAAGCTCCGCCTGACACCTTCCTGTTGCGCTCCGCGTGGGGGCGCGCGCGACGGAGTTTGCCCGGCAAGGCGCCAAACCCCACGGCCGACCCGGCATAGCAACACGAGAGGACGAGAGCGCGTTGAGAGCTGCGTTCGGCGGTATGTCGCTTTGGCTTCGTTCGTGCTCGTACCTGCAGGTGTGTAGTGTTTGTGTATCGTGCTGGGCAGCTGCATGAACCATGCCACGCTGTTTCGTACCACGGTGTAAAAGCGGGTACGATTCTGTGCGATCTGCGGGAGAGAAGAGACACTTTTTCAGGCCGCCCAACGACGCTGAACGCCTTGAACTATGGGAGCGCGCAGTACCAAGGCTGGACAAAAAGCTTTCGAGCTCGTCTTCTGTTTGCGATCTTCACTTCCACGATGATGACATTTTGAAGGTCTTCGAGCACAATATCTGTGGTGATGTGGTAACGATTCCGCGCGACAAATGGGCACTGAAGCACGACGCCGTTCCTCGCCTGTTCCCGAATTGCCCTAAGTATCTTTCTAAACCGACACGGAAACGCAAAGCACCTACTCGCAGACTCTCCCCGGCCAAAAGGAAGCGCCGAAAAGAACAAGGTGAGCGGTCGATTGAAGCAGTTGGAGCTAGCAACGACGAAACGGAAAACGGCGTGTCGCAAGAGACTACTGAATCTTTGTTTGGCATGCTGACTCGCTTGGCCAAAGGGGGACAAAAAGTTCAAGGTTGGTCTCTTGACGTTGCTGAACAAACAGTACTGTTGTACAAGCTCAGCGTAAGAAACAATATTCCCCGTGTGGAAACGTCCGTGACGCTGGCGGAGAACCTCAACTTGACTGTCTGTGCAAGTGGTCGACTTGTGCCATGCAGTGTCTACGCCGGAGAGCAGAGCGTTAAGCTGAAGTCATTTGATGACTTGGAATGTTTTATCCAGTATATGAAAAAGCTCAAGCTGTGCCAGGGATGCCCTGCTAAAAAGTACCCCAAAATCACATCATCAGTGGTGGCCACAAAAGAAGGTGAAACGTGGAGGCGCAACACCTGCACTGTTTTGAGCCTTAATGCTACATGTGCTCAATGCCGGACCTTGGACAAGCTTTTTTTGCAGCGGACAAAGCAGCAAAAAGACTGCAAGAAAAAGCAAAGGGCTAGCTTAAAGTCGATGCGGCGTAAAGCAATTCGCGCAACCTCAAGGCGAGAAAAAATGAAAGAAGAAGTCGTTTTGATGAAGAGGAAGCTTAGTGCGATTACAGAGGAAACAATTGACAGCACTCTTGGCGTTCTTCCAGCCAGGCAGCAGTTAGCCTTCAAGACGGCTTTAATGGCAGCAAAGGCGAAGTCAAGAAAGGGGAGGCGATATGATGCCGAATGGCTGATGACATGTCTGCTACTGCACATCTCAAGCCCGAAGGCCTACACTTTAATTTCTGACATGCAGCTGCTACCGCTACCATCAAAGGCTCGCCTTCGCCAACTAATAAAGGGCATTCCATGCAAGTATGGCTTTAATCAAGTTGCGTTGAACAGCATCAAGGGCCATTTCTGTGACAAAAGCCACCTAAGACGGCTAGGAGTATTGCTCCTCGATGAGGTCAAATTAAAGCAGGGCATCTCCTTCAATAAGGCCTCATGCAAAATGGACGAATTTGTGGACTATGGTGAAGTTGCAACACCAAATGCAAATCAACTTGCGGACCACGCTTTGGTACTGATGTTCGTGCCACTATTCGAAGACTGGGTGCAACCAGTTGCAAGCTTTGCAACAAAAGGAGCTGCTCCAGGAAAAGTCCTTGCAGAACTCGTAATGAGTACTGTTCTCGAACTTCACAAGAACAATGCGTCAGTGCTGGCTGTGATCAGTGACGGGGCAGGAAACAACAGATCCATGTGGAGCCAGTTTGGAGTATCAGGCAAAATGGATGCACCTCACCATTTCATCGAGCATCCATGGGAGCCATCACAGAACATCTACTTTGTATGTGATGTGCCTCACATCGTCAAGTGCATCAGAAATCACCTAAGGAAACACACTTACGGAATGGTAAAGAAAAAAAAAGCATGTGCAAATGTTCAGTGCAGTTTACCAGTTTGTTTTTGTTGCTTCCAGGCAGGCGACCTTCGCATCAATTTCCGACATTATGTGACCCTGTATGAAACTGAGAAAACTAGGCATGTACGAGTTGTGCCCAAACTGACCGAAGCACATGTTGCCCCTGATAACCTACGCAAAATGAGTGTCAGGCTAGCTACACAGGTAGGTCTTGTTTTTGTAAAAGCATGCTGTTTTTATTTTCTGTTCTCATATGTAAAAAATTGCAATGCTTTCTTTCTTTTTCTACAGCTCTTTAGCCGTGGGACATCTGTTGGAATACGTGTGTACAGGGAAGCAAAAGTCGCCGGCTTGGAAGATTCAGAAGGCACTGAGACTTTTACAAGACTACTGAACGATGTATTTGATGCACTCAACATAAAGCTTCCATCGAGGGGAATCAAGCGCCAATCCAAAGAGATACAGGCAAGCAGCTCAGCTACTCTTCCTGGAGCCTATAGGCTGGCTAGTACATATGCCATCACTTGGCTTCATCGTTTCCTAAATTGTTTGCAATTTTTTCAGATCATGAAGCAGTTTCTAGAAGTCTTGAATGTGACTGAGCGAAATGCGGTCGAGAAGGGCACAAAGCTTTTTGCCTCTCAAATGACAACTGAGTCCCTACGTGTCACGTTGTTGTCGACGCTAGATATCATCAGTTATCTCTTCGACAAGGGAGCAATTTACGTATTGACCGCCAAGCTTAACCAGGACCCTTTGGAGGTAGCACAACGACATTATTTCACATTAAATTTACAATTCGGAGACATAATGCACTTTTACTCAAACGCTTGTGATTTCTCTTTCAGCGGCATTTTGGCCTCGCACGTTCATTTGGAGGTGATGAGTCGCACCCTACCATCGTGAATTTCTCACAGATATTTCGCCTATTGAGCCTGTACACGCCCATCAAGACAGCACTACGTGGAAGCGTTCAAGGCGAACCGAATGCTGTACTTGTTAGTGTGGAGGACACATTAAAAACAGCTGGAGAGGCTCATCGATCAAGCAAAGCTAGCTTACGCAATGAGATTGAGGCTAGGCTATTGGAAACGACAGCATTTCCATGTGTTACTCCTGACCAAATCAGTGATGAGCACAGCTACTTCAGAGGTTCACCAGAGGACAGTGTTGTGTATTACTTGTCTGGTTATGTTGTACACAAAGTGAGCAAGCGTACAGCGTGCCAGTTGTGCCTGCATGACATTAGTTCAGCAGCTCCTGTCGTCGGTTCTGACGCATACTTGACCATATATCGGAGCTTCAAGGATGGCAGCCTGAGGCACCCCAGCATCAAGATGCTACACTTCGTGAGAGTTGTCAATGAATCAGTTTCACTTTCTCTTGATGAGGAAGGTCTCTGCGGGGACTTGTTTTGGAAGGTCCTGGACGACCTGGACGAGTGCAATCTAACGCGGCTGGGTTGCGATCAGCACAAGCCCACGTTCACGTGTCAAGTGTTGTATTTTTTCATTGTCACGCGGATGCATTTTTATGCGAGGGATGTGAACCGCCGCCTTCAAATTCGCGAGAAAGTCGCCATCGCCAGCAAAAAAGCTCGTCTATTGTGAAACTGTTCAACAGTTGCATTGTGTGTGCGTTCTTTGTGCCTCGCAATAAGCGCTTCTTGCGCCACTGAGAAAATAAAGTTTCCTTGCTTTGCTTATTTTTCGTTTTCAGTGACGATTGTACGCAGAGTGGCGGTGATACTTTTGGTGCAGCTTCGCCGCTGCTGATTTTACCTGTTCATTCCGCTCATGTATAGCCTCGCCCCAACGTCTGAAGAGGTTTCTAATGGCTGTAAAAATCTGAGGCGCATTGCATGACACAATTACAAGGCAAAGAATGCCATAATTTAAGACAAACGCCCGAGACTGGGGAAAAGACGAAGGACAACACAACACAGAGACTCACCAGAGTTGAGACTCTGCGGGTTCTGTTCTTCTCCGTCTTTTCCCCAGTCTCTCAGGTTTGTCTAAAATTATGTTAAACCTTCACCAGCTCGTTTGCGCCCTAATGTTTTGTTCATAAAAAATGCAATTTGCTGCACAAACCGGCAGCGCGTCGCGGTACGCAGCGCAGGGCACCGGGCTAACGGTGGCCGCTTCGCCATCTGGCGAGCGGAAACGAAAATGGGCCACGCATCGACGGCCGCCGCGGGTTGAGTTTGACAACTGAAGTGATCTAGTAACGTTGGTATTTCCTAAGATACGTTAAACATTTTGCATGAGTATTGCTTTGTGTCCCAAAAACACTATTTTTATATTGAATGTGTCCTAAAAATACACAAACATTTTTTTAAAGTACCTAAAAGGGTTAATAAAAATAAAAACGAAAGGAAAACTTTAGTGTTGCTAGAAGTGCTAGGAATCGTCGGCGGCGTCTGTGCACACTGGGCAATTTGCCCCGCCAGCGAGCTGCTGAGCGCGAAGGAAAAAACGGTCGTGAGAGAAAAGGTAAGTATTAAGGATATTTCTTTGTTTCCTTTTGTGCTTGCTGCATTACCATGTGGGGATTTCGCATTATTAGGTCTGCTGAGACACTTGTAGCTTTATTTTCAGTGAACGATTCGAGCCTGAATGTATAGCTTTACAGAAGAAAAATTTCCGGGCGGCTATCAGTTCGAAAGTCTTTGTTACCCAGCATTGCTAGCCGGCAAGCATATTCTAGAGTTGTCATTTGGACACCAGTTTGAGTTGTCTTCACCACTTGTGGGGTCTCTCTGTAATAATCGCCGCGCGATCGGCATGTGCTTCGCTCGTCTCCCAGGGAGTGACACAATACAACGAGAAGATTGCGAATCAGTTTACTATACTTCCCAGTTGTCCGTCTTTGAGAGCCGGCACTGCGGCCCGCCGAGCCGGGTTGTCGCCCGTCATTCAGAGCTCGCAGTCGCTGTCCGTGTCCAGGCCTGCGGATCGTCCTCCCCACGCCAGCGCTGCGTAGGCAAGCTGTTCCGGGCTATCAGAGCCAGAGTCTCGCTGCGGAACCACTCCGGGATCGTCATGACTTAGGTCGGTGTGGCCAGGGCTCGCCGTTTCCGCCGGTCCTGATCTGAACCTCGCTGGCGGAACACTCCAGGAGTCGCCATGAGCCAGACCAGCCAGAACGGCTCCATCGTTCCTGCGCGGCCCCAGCCTGGTGCGGCACGCACTTCCTGTTTCCTCGCGCTCGCCCCCGGCTAGAAAATGTGAGTAATTAGAAACATACTCTGCGTGCTAGAGAACAGTATGCACGTTACAATGGCTGTACCGTGATATGCAAGCCTGGTGTGAAAAGGTGACAGGCAACAAGGTGCACATTTGAGAATGATATTTACGCTTCACTTGAGCTTTTTCTAAAGTAAAACTTACGCATCCTGTTTTCTGCATGCCGTCACATTTGTTACCAGATTCAGCGTTAAATTTTGTTGCCGAAACAAACAAAGCTTTATGTGCTGCGAAAATTTACTATTTGAGAACTCGCAGGTTTGGAAGGTTTTGGGAACGACCACGCGTGTGCCGAACGGCTATGCGCACATACAACTACGACTGCCGGGACGGGCCTTTCGCTTCTTGAAGGCCTGATCGCCTGATTCTGGACGTCACAGCGAAGCAACCATCGGCCCAATTGTTCCTATTGTATTTCCCTATGTGGTGTCTATAGTCTGTTGCAACCTAAGAACGAAGGGCGAGGGTAAGACGGGCCGGGGAGGAGGAAGCAGGCGGAACGCTAAAGAGAGAAGGTTTTCCCCTCTCTTCTCCAGCGTTCCGTCTGCTTCCTCCTCCCCGACCCGTCTTACCCTCGCCCTTCGTTCTTAGGTTGCAACGGACTATAGTGACTCGTAGAACAACTTGTATAAAATTGTTATTTTGCTGAGTAGTCTGCAAAACAAGTTCGTCAGACCACTTTCCAAGCCTGCACATCTATTTTCGTTCACTTCAACAGCAACAATTACTGTAGAATTTACTTACCTGATGCATCACACTGCAGTGATCCACTTCTGTTGCCGTGTCACTTCCGAAGATCTCGAGGGGAAGCGGTATAGTTTGACGCTTGAGTCGCCTTCGTGACTGTGACAGTCTTTCACGCAGCAGTAGCGACATTTATTTTTTGGGGGAACCCTATCGAACCCCAGCGGGTTCCTGTGGCATCTCACCTACTCCTATAGGAGTAGGCAAGATGCTACAGAAACCCGCTGGGTTCATGGAGACGTGAAGCCGGGACTTACTTTTAAGAAGAACGGTTCCCAAAAAGGCTGACGCCGATCCAAAATGCCACATTCACACTTGGTTTCTAAATGCACCCGCCTGCAGTCCTTGCGATCCGGGCTGTCCTGGCCTACCCAGTCTTTTATTTTGCAGCCGCTAGATGGCGCAATACGTAGTGACAAATTGCATTGCCGGTTAATATTTGGGTCACTTGAAGTGAGGGGAGTGGGTGGAGTGGAATGGGGGGGAGAGATTTGTATTATCGAGATCCTGCTGAGTCGTTGCCCAAGACGCCTCCGACTGTACGTTGCAAATCTTAATTTGTTTTTCATCTGTATAAAAGCAGATATTAATTTACTGACAGGATGACAGTGCTGGTGGGCCCAAATCTAATTATGTATTTGCAATCTGAACTGCTGATAATGTAGTTGCAGGTAGTGACAATCTCAATTTAGTGGAGCAAGTCAATTGATTGTTCAGGAGAGGCTCTGCCCAGTACTGTTATTCACATGCTTCAGGCCCTTCTACCGTTAAGAAAATAGTGTTTCACCCTCTTTGCACACAGGAGCAGAGGGATCAAAAGTCGCTTTTTTAGGGGCAGGACAACACTGTCATACTACTATAGCCAGACTTTTAACTCAACAAAGGTTGATGACAGAACAGGAAGACATCATTTCATGACTTCTTTATGCAGCGTAGCACGATACAGTCATTGCTTACCTGACGGGCGAGTAGTTGTAATAACGAGAGTTGGTAAGGTTGCCAGTATCTTACATGAATAAATACTATCTTAAAGGCGTGATTTCAAAAGGTAGTGTTCATTTATTTAGTGCATAAAGCAGCCTGGCTGTGGCAACATCATAAGCAACAATACCACCTTAATGGTAGTGACCACAGCCCTTGTGTCACCTTACTAAAAGTACCGCAAGAAAGAGCTGACGTTACCTCTACAGGTTTGCATCGTCATAAATCAAGTTATAGCGATTTGCTAATGGTCTGAAAATCCTAAAACAAGTGAAAGTGATTTACTGGTGGAGTGAAATTACGAAACATTTTGAGGGCATGCATTGCTGAAATCTCACCTTATTAGCAACTGTAGCATACATTTTGTTTGGGAATATGCATGCTTCCTGCTATTACTACAACAAAGAAATGGGGTTCAATGTTTTGACTAACGTAGCTCCTGAGCATAGGGCTAGATTGACGTTGTGAAGGAGTATTGTGCTTTATTTATACTGCATTGCACATCATTTTGAATATGTTGTGCGGCTATCTTTTTCTTTATTACAGCTACAGTATGTCCTAGCGTATAAACAAATCAAGATTTTGATGTTAACTCGTCGCTCTAACCTTTAATTTGCTATCCTAGGTGCTGCAGTGGCTGCTCCACTTGGTGAGGCCGTGGCCTCCTCTTGGCCACCTCTCTTTGCTGTCCAAGATGGTGAGGTACGTATATGGGCCTACAAGACATTTTGTCTATTGTTTTCACTTCATTGACTTGTTCAGGACAACAGACTAATGGCAGAAAAAACAAGGACACAAACAGGCAGGCACACAAAAAGGCCAACACAGGTACTGACTTAAAGGTGCACTAAAGATGTTTCTCAGATTGTCTGTTCTTGGTGATAACTCATTCGACAGGCTCTAAGCATCCTAAATATCCAAAAAATTATGCTCGTTCCATTCCTATTTTCCTTCTAAAAATAAAAATAAAAGAACATACTTAAGTCTTGCCATAGGACGAGCAGGTGAACTATCTTTGAAAAAGTGTACATGCGGATGACGGTGACATCAGTGCTATCTGATAGTTGTGTCCCACAAATTACAGTTTAGCAGTGCCAATAATACCTATCCAGAGGTTAGCTGATACATCAACCGTGGCAATATTTGATTTACTTTATGTCCTTCCTTCATGTTAGTCAGATCAAAACCTAGGTTGCACTGTTCTGACTTTTTCCCATCTCACTGAGGTATATCATAAAGAGCAGGGGAGACAATGGCCAAACCTGTCTGAGATATCTTTTTATTGCTGCTGGTCTTGTAGTTTCGGCTTCCCATGTTATAATCACCCCTATTCTCCGTATAAACCCATTCTAGAAACTTAACCGTGGTTCCCTCTCGCCCATATCCCTTCAATTGGTTCCAGAGTTTTTCCTGATTCACATTGTCATATGCCCCTTTGATGTTTAAAAATGCTACCCATAATGGCCTTTGACTTGTCATTGCTATCTCTATGCACTGAGTGATTATGAATACATTTTCATCCAATCGTCTACCTTTCCTGAAACCATTTAAGCTCCCCCAGAATCTGTTTTCTCTTTGCCCATTCTTCCATTCTTCTTTTTACAATTTGCATAGCTAATCTGTATATTTCTGAAGTTACTGTGATTGGTCGGTATGATTTGACACTGTCTTTTTCTCCCTTGCCCTTATATAATAATCTCATCCTGCTCAATTTCCAGTCCACT